TATTTGTAAATTGAGCACCATGCTGTGCTACAAGCTTAATTTAAAAAGTACTAACAAATGTAATGAAGATCTTGTGAGGATTTTTAAAAGTGCATTGCAAAAATTGAGGGCATTTGGTACATGAATTTCAGCTTAGAAAAGCTGTTTAAAAAACAAAAACACACATTAATTTTACAGAAATTAATCTTTAAGCTAAATAATGCTAAACAGCTTGAAGTAAATGAACACATTAAAAGGCACTTTCAGGGGCTCGCCACAAAATAACTAACTTACACAAGAAAACTCTCTTCGGTAAAATGGAAACTAGAAGGTTATATTGAGTCTAATTGTATAGTCAACCATAGTGTAATGGAAAGTTTGTTTTGTCTCCGTTTCTTCTCGCTCCCCATTTTTTGATTTCCCAAGTTAAAGTATTATGAAGAAACAGACTACATTCAAACACTGCTCTAGGCTCAGCATAAATTGAGTTAGTTATAGTTTATTTAGTGAACAGTGGTTAGTTTATAGCATAATTGCAATTGCAGGTAGGGAATGGAAAGCTGGTCCTTCCCTATTATTGGATCTTCCAAGCAGAAGATGCTTACGTGATGAGTTCCTTAGACATTCCCAATGCTACACATGTCACTGGAGCCAGTGGTTGTTTAATCAGATCACTGCCTTTTTAAGAGTTGAGAACCAGCTGACGCAGACCAGCCTCCTTTAAAGAGCCTCAGATGTGTGTGTGTGTGTGTGTGAGAGAGAGAGGGGGGGGGAGGGAGGGAGGGAGGGAGAGAGACCTATCATCTATGGATTCTAACACTTTCTATATTGCTATTTGTTTCTGTTACATTCAATTGTAATAATGGTTTATTTATGAAATTTATAGGCTGCCCAATTCCCAACAACTTTGTGAAAGACATCCTTATCCAAATTAAACTTCATAATTATACCAGAAACGAAATGTTTATAAGATTAGAAAAGAAACGAAGGATCTAGAAGCAATGTGAAGAAGTTGGTTCTTCTACAAAACTATGCTTCTGGAAAGTTAGATCTCACTCTTTTTATTGGTGTCTAGTTGAGTTTCTATTTTTCACACTGACACAGCCAAATGAAATACTAACCAAACAGTTGCCACATGTCTGCAGCAGCCCTGTGGTTTTGAGGAAGCAAAATTCCCTTTCTGGATTAGGGTGATTGTCTTTAATCCTGCACAGAGTTAAAAAGGATAAGTTCCATTAAAGGCAATGGCTTCAGTAGCCAGTGGCTGCGTTGACATGATTAATGTAAGTATAACAATTGAAATCATTGCCATAATTGAGGACAAACCAGTGTGTATGAGTTCCAGGACTCACAGACCCATAGATTAACAATAGGATCTGTAATTGTATAATATGTTAAGATAAAACATGATTTAATTCATGGTTTTATACTTCATATGAACAAGGTAAAAACCTGCTGCCTGACTTCACTTCCTTAATTAATTTACAACATTTATATGGCTGTCCAACTCAAATAATATGACTCTTGTTGCCATTCAGTTCACTAAATGTATAAAAGAACAATACCAAGTGCCACTAACGCAAAGGCAAGAATTAATGACAAGGATTACAATATATCTCACTAACCGAGAATTCTACTCATTTTGACCCAAATGCTTGGAGAAAAAGCTAGGTCTCAATTGCCTTTCTGAAGGCGTCCTGAAGCCATATATTGGGGGGGATTGTTGGATCCCCTAATATATTGTTTGGAAAATTCTCCATAGCATTGAATAATGTATCAGATTGCCCACAGACAGCAATAGATATAGATATCTTGATGGGTCCCTCTCTCCAAAGGGCAGGAACTGAATTTTGTGGAATAATTATAATTTCCCCTATACTCAAGTGATGCCTTCTTGACCTGAGGTAAAAAGTAAACTGAGAATGTGCCCGGTTATACACATTGGTATGATAAGAATTTGAGATCAGGTCTTCTGGTTTTATTGATAGGGAACCTGTCATGAAATTAGGCCTCAGCAGGAATGTTGATGTTCGACACTCTTGCTTTCTCAACAACTCCGTGAAGAATGCAGTACTGCAGGCTACTTCTGCTGACTGCCGAGTTGCCTGCAATTTGGCAGTTCAAATCTCACCCGGTTTAAAGTTGACTCAGCCTTCCATCCTTCCGAGGTGGGTAAAGTGAGGACCCAGGTTGTTGGGGGCAAAATGCTGACTCTGTAAACTGCTTAAGAGAGGGCTGTAAAGCACAATGAAGCAGTATATAAATGCTATTGCTAATACTACCTCAGCCAGGGAAGATATTGGGAAGCAGCATGGATAGTATTTTAACATTATGTCCAGTTTAATATTCTAACAATTTGTCCACTACCAGGTGTCAGCTCCAGCTCAGAAAGTTTTTCTAGCAAGCATGTAAAAAGACAAAGACAAATTAATGTCTTTCGCAGTCTTTCTATAAGGCTACAGCAGGTTTACCATTCACTTTCCAGACTGGCTCCTGTATATCAGGAAATTTGTAAAAAAAAGCTCTTCTGACATAGGAGAACACGTTTTATGATATGTAAATGGGACCTATGGTATGCATAATTATTTATATAGATTTATACATAAATATTTATATATTTTGTTTTTGCATATGCACAGACATTGTGGGAGAGGTTGTTGTTGTTACCAATCTAGGGCCTCTGGGAATGGTTGATAAGTAAGTATAGAAAGCAAATAAACCAACCCTTAAAAATATTCAGAGCACGATCTGTTTCAAAATCCAGTTAATTGGGGTTTATTCAGTATATTATATTTAAACTATTGATTTCCAGGGTGGGAGAGGGGCAAAACAGTGATGGGGGAAGGAGAGGGGCTATACTGCGTACCGTACGGCCCACCCCATCTTATAGAAAACCGCCATTTAAGGTCAGTGAAAAACATTGCTCTATCAGCAGCCTGAAGTAAGAGTCAGCTGAAGGCAGGTTCTGTTCTTTCGGCCTTGGCAATAAAATTCGTGGAGCCAGTCTGCCCATAAGTTGCCTGGGAACTGACCATTAAGCTGCTTTGAGTTCTCTGTAAAAAGGCAGATAAAAGAAACATTTTGGAATATGTGGGTTTTGCTTTGCGCTTAAGTAACCTTCAGAGATATTAACGGAATGTTTCTTGTTACACTTTGCCGTTTTACTGCTTATCATAGTTCCCTATATATGGGCATACCAACATCAAAACTGAAGCCATTGAAATTCTTTGCAACTTTGTCAAACGGCATTAGCGACCCATCTTTCCCCCATGTGAATAACTGGAATTGCATACAAAATACAAATAAACTGAAACCATCACTGATATGCCCAGCTGGAGGCAGGATGGATTAGTGCCAAAGCAGAGGGTGGCCCGTTGGCAGGCTGCTCACTAACAGCCTTGGAAAGACAAATTAGCCTTTTCTCTTTTCTAACTCTCTGAACCCTCCCTTAAGATTAAAATCTCCCTGGCTCTAAATAGTGCTTAAAGCACGTTCAATTTAAAAATCAATTTCCAGAAAACTTCCAAGCAAGCAGAATTAATATTTTGGGCAGGTTTGGCTAACCTGAAATCAGTGAGAAACTTATAAATATGAACAATAGGTCAATAAAATACCCTTTCACTAATTATTTTTGCCTTGATGTTTTGCTTTGTGCATTTATCAGGTTAAACAGACATAGCTATCTGGTTCATGTTTTATCATAGCGTTGAATAGGGTGATGGCACACAGGTCTTGAACATTTGCAGCTGTACTTACAAAACAATTGCCCCAAACTATGCACTTTCCTTTAAAAAGCAAAACATAATCAAATTTCACTGCCTTTGATTAAAGCCTGTAGTTGACAAGTTGTTATGGTTACTTCTGTACAGCCATGGTTTATGGAATAAATCACTATTAGCATTCAGATAGTTGGCACAATTGGCATTCAGGCCAATCAGCCATCAACAGACACAAAGAGTTAAATCGCATTTACACACTGTCCAAAAGAGACAATAAAAAAGCTAAGAAGAAAACAAAAAGACACATCCTCTCCAGCAGCCAAACCCGGTTAAGCAGGAATTAACACCAAGCAAATAAGCAGAAAACACCACCTGAATCAAAGAACTACTAAGAAGAAAAACAGCCCCTCCCAAATACTGGCAAGGCAAGCTACTGTACATAAAAAGAGAGCACACCCCACGCTCACTAGCACTGATGTTATCTAGTTGGGAAATGAAATGTCTGCAAGAAAATAACCAAGCTCAGAGGGTCCTAAGGTTTCCATAAATCAGAGTTAGCTTTAATTGAACATGGTTTACAAAGTACGCTTGCTGGATTTACTTCATATGCTGGAGCAATATTCAGGTATTATGTAAATTGGAGTAAAATTCAGTAAATAGCTGGTGACATCAAAGAAAAGGTTACTTACCTACACAGAGCAGCAATCTAGGTAGAAGACTCTGTCCATACAGAGATAAGTACATTGGAAGGTTTGGAATCAGGTGAAAGCTAGGACACCTATCACTGGCCCTACAAAGGTTTCTGCATGCCAGACATTTGCACTGTCTGGATGCATAGATGTGTGCCATTTAGCTGATGTCACATGCTTGACTTATGAGGAAGTGCCAAAGGTAAAATTGTTTACTGCTGCTTATATGGTTTTAGTACTTTTCACAATAATGGAATATAGCTGTTCTAAATCTCTTCGTAATCAACTTCTTTGCCCAATATTAAACTACTACTGCGAGAACATTAGAGATGGTACCTTTTGTCTCACAGTATAAAATTGTCATTTGAGAGCTGTACGAAGTCCCATGGTGAAAACGGACTTGTAAAATTATTATTCATCTACATTTCCCAGCATACTAGTTCTTTTTGCCCTAGCTGTGCTCGGGAAGAAAAATTATCCCCCAGATTAAAATGAATTGGGGTGTATTGCAGCAGTGAGAACAGCATTTATAAGAAAATGTATAAGGATTCCCATGAAAAAGCATTCTTACTGCTTCTTGATTGATAAGACAGATGGGGAATAACAAGCAATCATAAAGAAAAAGGTATTTATTTATTTGTATGCCACATTTCTACATTTTGCTGGCCACATGTTAAAAGTCAAGATCTGGAGCTTTAGGGCTTTTTCTCCATTTTCTTTGCTTGAAAAGGAGAAAATGTAAACATTGATTTAAGAAGCAGAATCTTTGTATTTCATACAAACATGCTTAAATGTTTTGTCCACTGAGTTCTCTCTTCCAACTCTTCTTTTCATGGATTGTTGTATGGGGCTGTCCTGATTTTGGATGGGCAGCCAGTAACAAGCAAAATGATTGGTTGATTCTTCTGTCTTTCCTTTCCCTCCTATTTTGCTGGGCAGGCTGGGAAAACACTCACCAATTGCAGAACTGTGGCAGGAATAAAGTGAATTTTCCATTCTGTTCTTTTTATTTTGTTTGCTTTCCAGAGTTTCACTAGATAAATGGGTAGCCATATAAACGTGCTCAATAAATTAATAAATCATATCTAAACTTTCTGCTATGCCTCTCCTATATATAGCTTGAACTGAATGAAGTTAAAAAACAAACAGCAAGTTGGAATCACAGAAAGCTGAGTTGCAAGCAGCACATTCATTTAGGAATTTGTTCCCTTTCTTTGTTTGGTAGACATATATAAATGCCAGCCTCCAGATTCCTCAGTGCTCAGTTCTGGTGGCAATGGGGTGGAGGTCAGTCCCATTGTTCCTGTTTCTATTTCAGCCTTGTGCGGAATTAATAAGGACCACAGATTTAAAACATTGTAACCAATTTTATTGTATATATATGATATACAATGACAATAAAGGTGATACTATACATATATGGGACAGTTGGCTGAGAGGTTTAGCACTATTGCACTGTTCTCATGAAATTTCGAATAAAACCCACCCACAACCATGTTTCCCTGAAAATAAGACCCTGTCTTATCTTTTTTTGAACCCCGAAATAAGCGCTTGGCCTTATTTTGGGGGGGAGGTCTTATTATTCTGGGATGTGTGGAGCAAGATGGGGCTCCTCTTGTCGTCTTACCTGATTTCCACCTCTGTCTAACCCGAGGAAATGGTGGGGACTGGCTGCTCATGCGCTTAAATATTTTCGGGGAGGGCTTATTTTAGCGCATGCGCTCAAAAGCTCGATTGGGCTTATTATCCAGGGAGGTCTTATTTTCGGGGAAACAGGGTACTCAACATTCAACTTTGCCCTCCAACATTATGGATGCCAGAATGGAAGGTTTTGTATACTTTGCAACTGGATCTTGTCAGATGAAGGGGAAAAACACTATTTTAACAGTGATACAGCTGAGGATTTTTTTTTTCATTTGATTTATATGCCGCCCTTCTCCAGAGACTCAGGGCGGCTTACAATGCGTTAAGCAATAGCCTTATTTAAGCAATAGTTAAGCAATATTTAAGCAATATTTAAGGCTGTCTCAGTCTTGGTTTAGGGACAAGGTGAAAGTTAAATCATGGAACGTGGCAAAAAAAACCACCTATTACCCGTTTCCCTGAAAATAAGGCCTATCCCAGAAATAAGCCCTAGCATGTTTTTTTACATCTGCCTAATATAAGCCCCACCCCCAAAATAAGCCCTACTTAAGATTTTGTACAGGTGGCCACTCACCCATTCCATCTGGTTGCTCATGGTGCTACGGCCATGAGGCGAGGCGGGGTGGTGGTGGAGCTGCCTCATGTGCCCACCACCAGCTTACCTCAGGGCCCCTGCAGCCAGGTCATCCATGCTCCAACACCTGCCTTGTGGCGGCAGCACAGGCATCCATGTGCAGCAAGAGCCCACGTGGCCTCTGGCCCACTTCTTTCACTTGCTTGTGGCTGCAACAGAGCAAGAGGCCGAACGGTATGCTGGTGCCGCAGCAAGACAGGTGTCAGGGCATGGATGGCCTGGCTGCGGGGGCCCTGAGGTAAGTCAGTGCGGGGCACATGGGGCAGCTCCACCTCCCAACCTCGCATCGTGGCCCAGCAGCAGCACATCACTTGGCCTCCTGTTCTGTTACTCTCTGGCTGAGAGTAAGCAGAAGTGGGCTGACGGCCATGCGGGGTCCTGGACGGAGCTAGTGGAGCCATCGCCACGAGGCAAGGCAGTGGTCAGGGCATGGGTGGCCTGGCTGCGGGGGCCTTGAGATCAGCCGCTGCTGGGTGCATGGGGCAGCTCCATCCACCCTGCCTTGCAGTGGCGGCACTGATGAGCTATGCGGTGTCCTGCCCCACCACAAGCAGAAGTGGGCTTCCTGTACATGGAAAAAAAATAAGACCCCCCCCTGAAAATAAGCCCTAGTGCTTATTTTGGGGCCCAGAAGAAAATAAGACAAGGTCTTATTTTTGGGGAAACATCGGTAGATGCAAATAGGGAAAAGCTGTAAGTTGCAAAAAAATGTTGGTTTGTAAACAGTAGATTCTAATTAACAGTTAAGTCATGAAATTCCACCCAACAAACAAAATTTTGCTTCTGTTAATCTGATGTAACTGACAAAAAATGTTTACCTTAAACCAGGAGTGTCAAACTGGCGGCCTGCAGGCTGGATGCATCACGCGCAGGCCAAGCCCACCTCAGCTCCATGGAGGGAAAAGACATAATGATACGTCATGTGATGGCAATGTGACACGGCGAGTTTGACACCCGTACCCTAAACTCTTAGGATGTTTTATTCTGAATTAAAAATTCCCAGATCCTGCTCACTTTCTCTGAGAGCGAGGTTGTCTTTAGGCTTACTTTCTTTGACAACAACTGTGGACTAACTAATAACCTGAGGGTTTACTTTCCCTCAGAAAGGAAATGTACTCCCTTTGGATATTACATTGACCCCTGAACCCATGTTCCCCCGCCGTATTTATAAATGTTCCATGAGATCACAAGAGGAAAGCCATTTTTTTAAAAAAATAGTGTACATTACAGAGCTACTAATGTCCTAGTGCAAGAGAACATAATGACAGAGGCAGTGACACCACCTGAGACAAAATATTTGCCTAAAAGTTATTGTAAATTTTTCCTCAAATAATTTAAAATGGAAGTGTCATTTTCATTTTGCTAAAAACATGTTACAGAATGTGATTTCCCCCCATCTGATCTTTCTTTTTTGAGGAAGATGTACAGGGTTTTCTCCCTTTGAAGTAAATTCAGTTCAGACTTAACCAGATTTATGTGCTGGGGGCATGATCTGATGTTCAGTTAACTCTCTGTGTTAAACAGTTAAGAAATATTTGTTTCCAGAAAATGAGAAGGATTTGGGAATATTGATGGGACCTCTTGATAAGGGAATAATAAATATGCTGTAACTGACAAGCTCAGCCAAGGTCATAGTTTTGAGTAGAACTTAACAACTCAAATAACCATTGCTTTTTTCTTCCTTTTGTCATACCAAGAGCAACACAGACGTATTTATACCGACAACATACAATGGCGTCATCAAATCAAAAGCCTGTATGTTACTGATGCTTCTGGGTTTTAAGAATAGACAAGTGTCAAGTGCTTATCTATCTGCCAAGTACTGTGTTCTGATTTAAAAGTACTAAACTTTATATTGTGTGTGTGTAGCCAGCTGTACCTTGTGCTTCAAAAGGGGCCCAAAGTCAAAGCATAGATTTTGCAGACATATAGCTGTTTCTGTAATCAGTGAACAAGGTTTCACTTATAGGGAAAATGCACTGCATTTATAACATACTTGCAAAGTTCATTTTCAAAGACATTAACTGCTTGAGTAAACAACTGATATACTTTTTGTATACGAGGAAAATATAGTGAGCATTTCTTATAATAATCTTCAACAAATGTAACTTTCATTTCTTTTTCTTTTGTTCCTGTACATGCTGCATCTTTGTTTCACAATTTAAATCTCTCATGTTAACTGTATTTGTTAGAAATTTCATCCATTAGGGACAGGACACAAATGGAAGAGTATTATACGTGGGAATGACTTGAAAGTCAGAAGGAAGAGCTGCAAACTGGACAACCATCATGCAAAAGGTGCCTTCTAGCACTGATGCTATCTAGTTGAGTAATACAATGTTTGCAAGAAAACAACCAAGCTCAGGGAGCACCAAAGACTTCACAAAGGCATCTCAGCCCACAGAAGCAAAAGGCGCGTGGGAAGTATCTCAGAAGGGACGCTTCCTAATTTTCTGGAAAGTAAAAGTGCTTTCAGACTTGCATATTTTATCACTTTAATCTGACAATAAAAATAGGGTTGATACTCAAGGTTTGTATTTCCTGCCTGGACTACTTCAAAGGGGTGACGTATGGATAACCTAGAACTATAGAGCTGGTGTTAGGAAAATGAATGCTTAGAATGAGCTGAAAGTAGCAAGAGATACAATTTTTTTTTAGTTATGTTCAAAACATAAAGAGCGAGCATACCCAACTGCTCAGCAGAGGCTAAATGCTGATAGGTAATAAAGAAAAGCCAGAGCTATCCAACTCTTATTCAGTCTAAAAACAGATCAAAACCCTTTCACTAGGAAAGCAGGATGAAGGGATAGAATTTAAGTTTGAAGTTAATAAACTTTTGGTCAGGGAATACCTCCTTACTTTAAGTTTAAATTTCTAAGATCTGATAAATTGTATACTTAGAAACTAGCTGAACGACAGTTTCTGGCAAAGCACTTATATATTATCCTTCAGAAATCCTCTAGTGAAGTACCAAATGACCAACAAATGTTACTTCTGACCTTCCAAAAAGGAAAAATCCAGGGAACCAAAAAGTCTGACATTGATCCTGAGAAGATTCCAGAGCACATCATAGATCAGTCTATAAACAACATGAAACAAATGCTATAATTATCCAGCCATGTACAAATCCTGCTAGACCAAACTTATTTTTTGGTCAGATTGCACATATTAGGAATGCTGGGGACACAATATGCCTTTGTTTCAACAAACATTTGACAAACTAAGTGTAAATTGAATGGCCTGACAGCCAAATGGATATACAGGTTGATGGACATATTTTGCTTTAGTGCTCCATCTATGACTTGGAGTCTTTCTCTAATGCAGCACATGAGGCTCAGCTGGCTTGCTGAACAGCATACCAGAGGAATACATTTATTGTTTTATTATTTTAAAGTGTTTTAGGCCAGCAAGATTTCTTAAATGACTTACTGATAATTTTTGCATGGAAACTCTCAATCTGAAAGACATGACACAAAAGGAATAAAAGGAACAGAGAGAAAATCTCAATACTGATAAAATTAAATATTTTATATGTAACATATATGCAAATCAGAAGCAGTTAAGGACTGATAGGATAGTTTTCTGAGCAGTTTAACACTGCTATGCGATAATGTTGCATAAATAATATTCAGGTATAATGTTGAGAGTGAAAACACATTTTTAGATAAATATGCAAAAGTGTAGCAGAAGGAAAGATGGATGAAAAAGTTAGTGGTTTAATAGAGAAATTAAAATTTCCTATCACAGAAAGAAAAACTATCACTTGGGAAGCATGTGATCTCATGAGGGTTTTTGTGATATCACTCAACCCAATATTGTTACATCACCAAGGCTGACCTCTTGAAATTGAGGTTTTAGGCTCTTGCTAAATCTAAGGTTATGAACAGCTCATTGTTGTTCATAACCTCATATATCACAAATGAATGAGATATGCAAGTGATTAAATATAAATGCTTGTTGGCCCATAAGACTCATGACCCTACAGTCCAAATCCTAGTGGCTACAACATTTAAGTCATTGAGGCCAATTCCATACTCAGTACAAGAATCCAGATTAAAGCATCCTGCCATATACGGTAGTTGTGAAGCCTCGACTTGTATACACCCAATTGGAGTCTCACACTTCTCTGGATATTTGGTGCCACTTCCACAATTTGGTGCTTGCTTTCCTTCTGTTTAAGAAAAAAGCTGAAGGCATCTAGTCCATATTCAGAGCAGCATCTCTACCTTTTGTAAGAAGCAGGGTGGTAGGGATTTAGTTTAAATTTTTTTGTCCACCAGGAAGCACATTTTAGGGACCTCTTGTATTAGTAAAATAGGAGGGCTAGATGGGGATAATAACTTTTGTTTACAGAAGTGATAAAGGAAGAGCTGACATAATACTTGCCAATTATTCCACTACCTGAGCTAACACTGATGAAATAGCAAGATAAAATCTTTATTTCTTTTACTAAATATAACGCCTCTCTCTCCCATACATCAAAAAATGGCCAATAATGTAATGCCGCCACAACCAAAACATGATTTAAAAAAAAAAAAAATATCCAGAAGTTTTGAAAATCAGGAAAACAAAAAAAAAAGATCCGCTTTGGAAAAATGTTTACATTTATTTGCACGTTGACAAGCTTAATTCACATTTTTCAAACGGCTGCCTTTAGGTAAAAGCAGCTGAATAGTTAGTTGGTGGTTCATTGTGGAGCCGAGTGGCAATTTCTGAACAATTTTGAGGTGTGCAATTTACGGATTTTGGGAAAGTTACTAAAGAAGAGTCGTCGCGTATTTTCCAATCATCGGGAAGACAACGAACCGATGTCAACCCGAAGCACAACATCATCGCAAACAACCCCCCCTTTTTTTTTTTAATCACCGCAACCCAACCAACCCTTTCCTTCCCACAGCCGGCTAAGAACCCGCGAAGGAATTAACAGTACCAAAACGCGGGTTCTCCCACCTGAAACCCGGCCTTGCTCTGCGCACGCGCGACGTCGACATCGCCCACCCTTCCATATTACAGTTACTCCTTTAAACGCGTTCCATTCGCGCGCCCCTTCTTCGGTATTGTGACGCAAGTGATTCCACCCATTTTTTTTTTCCCCTCCACCTAATTCACGCCTCCCACCTCGGGCGCCGCCGCCGCCGCCGCCGCCCCTTTTTTCTCCCCCCCCCACCACCTCGCCTTCGCTCGCGCTGTTGGCCGTTTCCTGCTTGGAGCGCGTAGCGCGTTGTGCGCTTCCGTCCCAGTCCCTCCCTCCCTCCCTGCCGCCCCGCCCCCCTCCTCCCCCCACCCTCAGTCCCTTTCTTTCTCGCGTGTCAGGCGGCGGCGCGAGCGCGGCTCCCTTGGCGCTGAGGGGGGAGAAAAGGGCTCGAGAAGGGGAGTGAACCGCGGTGGGAGACCCCGGCGCCGGCCCCCATTTCGGAAGCTCAGGGGTGGTGGTGGGGGGGTGGGGGAAGGCGGCGACGACGGTTGGCACTTAGGGCGACTTCGCTGTTCCGTTCCCCTGACTTGAATTCGTTGGGGGCTCGCCAAAATGAGTATCGAGATCCCGCAGGGTTTGTCGGAGCTGCTGCAGGGCTACACCGTGGAGGTGTTGCGGCGTCGGCCGCCGGATCTCCTCGACTTCGCCGCCGATTACTTCGGTCGCCTGAGGGATTCCCGCGACCAGCAGCTGCGCGAGGAGGCGGCCGCCAGGGGCAAAGGAGTCATCTTCGACGGGGAGCCTATGCAGACCGAGTCAAACGGCGAAGAGTCGAGGAGGGAAGCGGCGGCCGAGGAGGACTCAGACTCCGACTTCGAGCGTGAGTTGCGGAGGGGAGGGGAGCCCCGGGGAGCCCCCCCCCGCTGGGGTGGGGGGGTGTCTCTCTCGCCACGCGCTGCGCAACCTTTTCTCCCCTTTTTCCTGGGGGGGGGGGGGGCTGTTGGAATCCGAAGATCCTCACGTGCGGAGGGCTTTTTTTTTCTCTCTCTCTCTTTCTCCCTCTCGGGTTTCTCTCGCTCTCCACTATCTCCGGCGGCTCTCGGTGTTAGGATGGGGGAGCCCCCGGGCGGCTACTTCCAACATGCCGTGCGAACGGTGGAGAGCGGAGAAGAGAGCTGTGCGAAATCCTGCCCTGCCTCCCTCAAAGCAACGTTGGGGAGGGTGGGAGAGAGAGGCAGGGTATAAATTTACCAGGTTAATATAGCAATGCCCAGAACATTGTTTGCGGGTATTGGGTGGTGGTGGTGCTGGTGGTGGTGGTTATTCTTTGAATGCGGAAAAGTAGGTGTGACCTTATGTGGGAAAATAAAAGACACCCCTTTTTAGTGTGTTTTTGCTTCTTGGCCTCCCCTCGTTCGTTTTGACGTGGAAAAGAAAACGATAACTGGATCTTTTCAAAATGTTACTTTACACACACTGCCTCGCTTCAATATGCCTGGGCGACTATTGCTCCAGGTGTGGAGGTGACTTTTTGAATGAAAAGTCTTTCCTTCTCCATTATTTTTTTTAAAAAGGGAGCCAGCTTGGGGAAAAAAAAAAACCAAATAGCTTCTAAGGTATTCCTTGATTAGAGAGAGAGAGAGAAAGGGAGGGGAGGCCTGAAGGTGGATTAAATATACTGTTCCTTGTGATTTTAAGAATAGGGGCAGCCTTTTCAGTGTCCAGGTTTTTTGGGGGGGGGCGGGGATGTGTGTGATCAGCTGTATTGAGAAGAGAATAGAGAGAGCCTCCTAAGGTTGGAACACAACAATTTATGAATAGTAGTTTGTTTTAAAATAGTATATGCTAGGAGGGAGGGAGAGAAAGATTGGAAAAAGATCGTATCTTGAATGATATCCCCTCCCCCTTCTTAGTAAAGGAATTTCTTGAAGATTCTTCAAGAATCTGTCCATATTCTACCATGTTTTTTCTTGAACGCAGCAGCTTTTTACATCTTATCCACTTTTTTCAGTCCTCCATTTAAAAGAATATTTAGAGAATGTTTCCTGTATTGTCTCATTATTTTATTTACAACATACTTTATGCTTAATGGTAAGCAATGAAAAATATTTTGAAAACTCATTTCTAAATAGCTATTTGCATATTCTTGGTTCAAAATTGGGTTACTTCATGTTCAAAATTGTCCAAAGGAGCTTGCCAAAGTGTGGATTAATTATCAAATAATTGGAACATAGTGTAAGTAGCTAATCCACGAAGCAAGCCATTAAAAATATTCTGAGTACAGGGACCAGAAATTTGAGGAGAATATGCCATATTGTATCAGGATTCCATTATTTAGTTCACCACCCTTGGGGAACATTTAGGGAATCTTAGAATTAAGTGATATCAGTGTTGTCAGACACAACATTCTATTTTTGTAAGTGTCAAAAGTGAAGGTGCTATTTGAAAACCTTAGTGATAGAATAGTGTCTAACTTTTAACCGTTAATTGAGAGGTTAATTCAGTTGATGCTTACAGCTTTCTGATCTCTTTTCCCTGGTTGGTAAGTTATGTGCTATGTACTGTATATAAATGAGTTAACATGTTTCTAAGTTTAGCATATGATAACAATCAGGGAAGAGGAAGTTTTCAGAGAAATGGGTATTCTGAATTGTATCTTTGTAACTAAAATGGTTATGATGCTAATGAGATACTTTTCCTGAGATGGGAAGTAGGAAAGACCCAGTTAAAAAGCTGTTTTTGTACAGTGTGTATCAGGCTGTTGCTAGGGAGAGCAAAAATGAACAGAAATGGAATGCTGTGCATTATGGGGAAATTCTTCACTTTCTAAGTGATAAAATATTGGTAGGGCTTTTTGTAGAAAAATGTCATTTCTGAAGACCTGAAATTAATGCAACATTTAATATATACCATGATTTACACAAAATTTAAAAAATGCAGATTAATTAAATAGTGTCAAGTCTTACTAGGCATGGCAAATATTAAATAAAATGAATATTAAATTAAACCTTGCTGTTAAATTTGGAAAAACCATGATACTCTTTTTCAAATGTAGATCTATTTAGTGGGTCTGGATTGTGCTTTTACCTCCAAACCAGACTTATAATTAATTAATATTCTGAATTCAGAAATAGTTACCTTTATCAGTATGAATGAGTGACTAATTGAAATAATTAAGATGTACAGAAAAAGTTAGATCAGTTATTAACAATCATAACTTAGAACCTTAGTAGTTAAGTAGCTTCAAATCCATTGAGATGATGGAGGATATAAATCAGAATGTTTTCCTAGATACTTTGTAAAGTATTTATGTATGGTACAATAAAACTTTGATGTGAGCCTTTAAAGAGTTATATCCATTAAATTAAACATTGCTAGAAAAGCACCTGCATTTATAGAGCATGCCTCAGTTTTAATTTGCTAAGGAAAGGCCAATTTGGAAAAGAAAGCAAAAATACAGAGTTTCCTAGTAACTGTTAAAATAACAACATAGAGTGGTTGGAGTAAAATGGTAAATCTGATAGTGTAAACAGCAGCAGTTGGTGTACGGTAATTAAAAAATTCTGTCTGTTAACCATGTTAAGGCAGTGATTCAGAACATACTTGTTGGAAGGAAGATTCATTGAAATAGAACAGTTTTGACCAAAAATTGTTGGAATAAGCTGCTAAAACACTTAATGGTGATTATGCAGAATTTCCTTTAGTTTTAAGGCATTTTAACATAATTCAGTGTTTTATTTTAATTTGACATAGCTTTTTGTGAAAAGTCATTAAAATAGCCAGAAAACCCATGTTGTTGCTATATTAAATGTCACAGTACAAGAGTAAAATGAATAAAATATACCTTACTATGTTTGCTATATTGTTATAAAGGTAAGTTGTCTATTGAATTGAGCATAAATCTTAGTGATTACAGGATTATTGAAAAGCGGATTAAAATATGGAAAAAGAATGCTAACTGGTCAGACTGGATTATAACTCCTTTATGATAAGAAGCTGAGTCAAGTGGGATGCAGATATCTGATGAAGTACAGTAATCTTTAACCATTTTTATGCTGGAAATTGGAGATAAGCAACATTTAGAGGAGTACAAATGTGCATTATGAAAAAAAGATGTAATGTCAAAGGAGAATTGATTGGAAAGCATAATTTCTTTTGGTAGTACTACAGTCCTTGTGTGCAAAGGATAAGATAGTCCTTTTACTGACAATATAATCTTGGTTATCTCTGGCACACGATAAATTCTGAGCAGTGTTTAGTTTGCTTTTATTTTCTTTGGAATTTGATATATTTTGTCAAGCATGATGGGAGATAGTCCAAAAGCCAGAGAGCATTGCTTTTTTTAAAGGGTTCTTGGAAATCTTTCTAAAATCTCTTGGTAGATGCTCTCCAGAGTTTTTAAAGCAACTATTATACTGAGGACAAAACAGGTTTGCCTCCATGAGATTTCACAGTTGAAAAAAATATGTTTGCCATGTTCTACTGTTTTAGGGAGTATAGAGTATGTATAATTGAATTATGAAATACAACATTGTCACTCTATGGTTCTATGGTATAAGAGCAATAAACCTTTTTAAAAATATATTTTAATCAAAAGCAATAATATAAATATGGTGGTGTTCTCTGTGCTTTTCTTTTTCACCTGTGTTCCTTTAGTTACAATATATGCCCCTCTTTATCCTTCAAGTGATAGCATTCTAAGCAGATGCATTTTAATTTTTTTCATTGTAGTCATAAATCATATCTAAAATGGCAATTATATTTCTTCTCCCCAAATCCCAGAAGTAGGATGAAACATTGACTTTGCTGGAGCTCTCTACCGTAATTATGTTATGATTATATCCTTGTTATTGTGTGTTAAAAGTAAATGTTCATGTCATGTAGTTTGTAACTATTGAACATTGTAATTGAACTCTCAGCTATATATTTTATAGCTGATTAGTTTATTTTGACATAGTAAATGTTTGTTTGGGTACTCATTTTATTATAAAGTTGATAGCTTTGAGTATTTTTTGTTTCCTAATTTATCCATCTATTCCTATGCTAAATGTGTCAAAATTTTAAACTGCTTTGGAAATTTGGATGGTGGATAAATTCTTATATCAATAGTAAGGTAATATATTTGATATCTGCTTCTTAAAATATATTAGATAAGATAACCAGTTGACAGTTGGGTGAAATTGTGCTATATATAGATATATTTAATACCTACAAACTTCCAAGATTTCCTGAGGAAGTAGAAAATCACCATTGCTCATTCTTTGTCTAACATTCAAGTTAAGTTATACACTGCAGTACTGAAATGTAGCAGTACATGTGGCCATATAGTAAAGGTTGCAAGTGTTGTGTGCATAATACAGTGGCAGGCATGCAGGCAGGCAATCTTCCCCTACTTAAAAAAAAGTTTTGTTTACAGTGATAGTGGGTTGCCAGTCACATAAACCAAAGACTTCAGTTAATGTTGTCAAATCTGGTGTCTCTAGTTTATCAGATACCAGTTAGATAAAAGTCCCTTAGATAATGTTCTAAATTACAATGATATCCAGAGTATCCTCTTATATTGGGTTTAAAATATTTCCAATTAAGTTCCTCAGTTCCTGAGTACTGTAATTGTTTCTTTGCTTTTTGTTATATTAAGAAATTCAAAGAAACATTAAAATTCTAGAATGCAGTGAAGTTTATATTCACGGTGAAATAGGATTTGCTTTCCTCTTCTAATGGAAACATTGAATACAGTACTGAAGAAAGTAGAGGGAAGTAGTAATAAAAATGTATCCCTACTTTTTCATGTCTATATGCAGTTGCTGGATGTAGTCATGCATTGGCATGACCATTATGCCTGGAAGTTGTTATGGTCTGGAGGGAAGAGACAAACTTACA